TTTGGCGGTGCCTTCCAACCAGCGGTGTACAAAAGGAGTTCACGTTTTCAAAAACCAAGATGGTCACTAATGAGCTTGCTAGTCTCCCGGTCTTTAGTGGAATCATGCAGAATAAACCATTAAATTTGAACGAACCACTGTTTATTGACCTGCCTGGCTTCAACACGTCTCCCATGCTAAATGCAGTCCAAGCAAGGAAACTGTTCCCGAAGTTAACAAAAGAGGATCTCTTGCAAATAAACACTACAGTACATTCATTGGAAACTGGCACCCTAACTTTTTGGTGTCTCCCTCACATAGTTGTAGATATTGTGAAAACAACAGTACATCATGCATTGTGTGAACCATGCAATTACTCCTTGCCACATTTGAGGCCAGAAAAGTCCAAGAACAGGGAAATAGCAATTCAGCCTGGTTTTACAAAATTAGGACAGGTATGCCATGGCAAAATGCATGGAGAAGCAGATCCTAAACCCAGATTTTTGAGATTTAAAGTGGGTTTTTGATCCCCAATTCGGCCCAAATCCGACTTTCAAAAGCCAGCGGGACAGTTTCCGATGAATGGACTATAAGCCTCATGTTGACGACAGGTTCTACCGCGTCTATCCCCTGTACAAAATGAGGGAGTTGGAGTTGGAGCGACGTGGTCCTATAGAGGTGTACCATGCTGCCGTGCTCAACAAGTTGCATAAAGGAATAGAAAGGCTACGAATATACTTAGTGTGCCATTACCGTGCTGTGAGGCTGTCGAATGTTGCTGACTACTTGGACAAAATGATAGCTGCAGGAAAGGCATTGACAGTGCTTCACTACCTTGGTGTTAAAGGATTAACAAACCTGCAGTTCAGCAACGCGGCCATTGATCAAGCATCGAAAATTTGTAAGAGCCATTCGGCAGTAACTGCAGTCATTGAAGAGCGCCTGTTCATGTCCTTCGAACACTACTGCCAGGCGTGTGCAGAATACTACATGCAATGGAAACGGCACCAGAAGGCTCTCTTCTCGGGTTTTGGCAACTACCATTTTTCGAAACACGATGGCATCAAGATATGGACCAAAGAAGAACTCACCGAAGCCATAACAAAGTATGGAAGCACACTGACGAAGTAGACCCGAACAAAAATTAGAGATGCAGGGTAACCAGATTAAGATGCTGTGTTGTAACTTGTTACCTTTTGAACGCGGCGGCAAACGCTCAATTAAAGACTGGAACGTTAAATGCTAGTGCCATCTAACCAAGCTTAGATTTTGAAATAACCGCGGTGGTAACAGAGACATGTGCCACACTTGAGAAGAATGCAACGAATCATGAGCCTCTTTCTGGAATCCGCGTGCAAACCGTTCACATTTGAAATGATCTGCAACAGTTTAAAATTAGCCTTAATTTGAAAGTAAGGTATCTGGTGGATTAGCCAACAACCATTTTTTTATGGAAAAGTAGAAAGAATACAAGCTCAGGTGCTTCGGGAGTCAGCAGAAATCCTTTACACCATTACCATACCCTACACCTTCAACTTTCCCTCTACCACTGACCAATCTGCCTACAAGGCCTGACTTGTCTGACCTGCCAGTTGCACAGCCACATTTCTACGCTAACATGTCGGCCGGTCTTGAGGAAGACCGTGGTAGACACAAGTGGTGGCAAAAAGCCAAATAACTATGCAATCTGTCTTAACCACGCGCCCCGATTCCTGATCTGTCAGATGGAAATTTGACGGATAAAAGTGTTCTAGAAAATGCTGACTTGCTAGCACGCCTATTCTCACAGTATTCTTCACCTCCATCTAAGCCCCCAGTATTGCACACAGCTACCTACAGTCACGGTTGTAGAGCCCTTCGAATTTCAGCAACTTAGTACCACTAGTGTTCTTTGAATTAAACTGTACTCAGTGACTCTTTACGCTTTACAGGCTACGTTTTATAAATTCGGAACGACGCGTCACGCAGCTTCATTATAGCAACTTGTATTGTGGCAACACCGGCCAACACTCAGATGCACTGCTTCTTCACACACCTGAACAATGCTTCTCGTTAGTCTTTGGGTAATCCTGAAATAAAAGATTATTATTCTTTCTTCCCAACGTTTTATTATTATTCTTATTATCATTTGGAAAGGATTGGGAGAACTTCAAATTCAAAGTATCAGTCGGGGAAGTGAACTGCCTGAAAAGAGAAAAAAAAGCCGGACCCACTAGGACTCGAACCTGGGACCCTGCTTGTCACGAGCAATGCTCTAACCACTTCCCCGACTGATACTTTGAATTTGAAGTTCTCTCAATCCTTTCCAAATTTAATCACTTTCTTTCACCTCTGGTAGTTTCCAGAAACTGACCGTGGTTGGTGTCCTGGGGGAGGGAAATACCCAAGTGCCATCAGTATGTGTGGCACGTGTTGTGAGCTGCCTTTGGAGTGAAAAACTTGTCAGCACCTTCTAGGTTCATCCTGGTCCCATAGCTCAGTGGTTAGAGCATTGCTCATGACAAGCAGGGTCCCAGGTTCGAGTCCTGGTGGGTCTGGCGTTTTTTCTCTTTTCAGGCAGTTCACTTCCCCGACTGATACTTTGAATTATTATTATTATTATTATAAAGCTTTCCTTTTGATCTTGTCTCTTATTGTTGAGACCTTTCCACAATATTGTATTGCATTGTTAAAAAGTAATCGCTGTAAAAAAAAAGAAAAAAAGTAGGGTTCTTTGTGCCCTATCACATCTCCCTCGGTACAAACGCACGTCCGGACCCCTCCCAAATCGAATCCTTCCAGAAACAGCTCCCAGTATTTCCGATCCACTAACAGCAATATTTAATTATGGTGAAAAAGGAGAAGTATGTAAATAATCGACGCGGAGACAACAATTTTATAATAGCTATAAAGAGAACAAATTCTGCTGTCATCGCCACACTACAACAAAGTCATGAAGGTTTACCAAAATCGATTTTCTTGTCACAATCATCAGTGGAAAGCCGTGACTGAAGAATAACCATGCCAAATCAATACTTAATATACATTTAATAAATGTGTTACGAGAACGAAACAAAGTGCTAAAAATAGAATGAGGGAAGGTGAGACAATAGAAGTAAAGTGAGAGCTAAGTGCAACAAGGGTGAGGAACTAATTGCAACGCTAGAACTGTGTAGTTAGACAAACAATCATGCTGTGCACCTACGAAAACAATCTTAACGCAACTACATGTTTCTTCTGCTTACAAAGATCAGGCTTATGCAAACGAATACAAACAGCCTCAAGTACTTTCAACTGACTAGCGTACCGTGCACGACAAAGAACAGAAAAACTAAAATCATCATACACCTGCAGACACTTAGGGTGAGACAACAGATGAAGAAAAACGGCAGACTTCTTACGATCACAATCACCATCCGATTCCTCGTCTCCACCAACCGCAACCTCGTCCCCCGTCTCATCTTCCAACTCGTCCTCAGTGTCGTCCTCCGTGTCATTCTCCTCATCACCACCGATCGGTCCCAGGCTCGCTTCACGTTGCTGAACCTCTGTTCGTTGACTCCTCCTTTGATCTTGATGGTAATTTGTTACCATTGTTGTTGTTGTCATTGTTGTTGTTCCTGTTGTTGCCAAATCTTCTGTTCCCAGTGTCTTCGCCGGTGCTTGACATCCAGTACTGTAATAATTCATTGAATAATTAGCCGTTGATCGTCTAGGTCTTTGAATGTTGATCGTGTTGTTTTCTCTGTTGAATTCCGTTTCCTTCAGCTTTCTTTCTTCTAGTTCATGTTCAGTGCTTACCTCATCCATATTTGCCCGTGCCAGCGACACCACTGGGGCTGAGTCTGTGAGTCTGTGATGACCTTCATGACTTTGTTGTAGTGTGGCGATGACAGCAGAATTTGTTCTCTTTATAGCTATTATAAAAAGGAGAAGGACAATGGTTACGAGCTATGACTAACTGTCCACCAACGCAACCAGATCTTATACAGTCAGCGAGTGCGAAAAAATGGCACAAAACTGAATAGGAGTATTGAGACATTCGGCGAGTTAGTCATAACTCGTTACCTTTTGTCCTTCTCCTTTTCACCATAATTTAATTGGATCACCATCCGAGCAATATTTAACCTCATTATCACGCCTGGCACGGTGCCATAGGATTGGAAATCCTCTACTGTTATAAGGTTCTGGAAGCAAAGGCAGCGCTGGGTCTTATCGTCCCATTTCCCTGCTCAACGGAGTTGCGAAAGTGTAAGAAAGGCCAATGAGCAAGGAAATGAATAAATTTGTGGAGGCCAATACCCACCTCCGTATACACCAGTTAGGGGTTCGCCGGCAACGGTACACCACTGATGAATTTGTCCAAATGACTTCTTCAATAAGAAGAGCCTTTTAACGGCAAACCTTTGTATGACGGACTCTGCCTGGACTTATCAAATGCATTAAATAAAGTCAACCATTCTGTCCTGTTGCATCTTCTCTCCTCCTTCAGTAAAATGGCTCGGATCCTTTATATGCGGGCGCTCTATTCATGTTCAGATTGGTAATCAAGTTTCAGCCCTACATCCGTTGGGAGCAGGAGTGCTGCATGGGTTCTCATCTAGGTCTACTCCTTTTAACATACTGATCGACAGTCTGCAAATACTTACAATCAGCATTCTGAGCCTTTTTGCAGATGACTCCAAAATTCTGTGCATTTCCCCACCGACTACCACAATTACGGCTCATTTGTCTCAGACGGAAACTGATTTAGCAGCGTGTATCTCCTGGTGCCAACATCATGTGGCTGCGGGGTCCCGCTCACCGTTCCCCTGGCAATAGCCCGTTCTAAAAAAAACTCGCCACTTTTGGTTGTTTTGGAAGAAATCGCAACTTTCTTTTCTATTTTTAACTACTTCGCAACATTTCTGCTACCGCAAGCAGAAAAACGCTCTCTTGGAGGAGACCATTGAAGTGTGTGTGATGCTCCGCTTCATCAAGAAGGGCTGAAACATTGCATCAAACCAACAAGACAAGTGTACTTCTACACTGGCAAAATTTAATTATCGTGCTACTGCAAAGGAATGTTAGGAGGAACGGAAAGGTTCCATGATTTAAGCCATAGACAAAATAGGAAGTTCGGGAAATGTGAAGCTATTACATTCATGATTATTTTCATTTCCGTAGCCGAGTAAGGCAAGTCAGTAAGATACGGGCTCAGTCCATGCATTCAATTGTGCTGGACATACCAGTACATGCAGATACATCAAAGTTATGCAAAAGAGACTGCCTGAGCCAGATTGCCGAGCAGAAGCAGAGCGAGAGAGAAGGAAGAAGCATGATAAGGAAAGGAACCGAAAAACCGAGAAAGGGTCTGGATTGCAAAATATAAAGTACGGAATCCATTGTGATTGTAACCCTATGATAGGCATAGGGTGATTCTTTTAAACCTTTTTCACCCTGATGACGGGCTAACCCTGAAGAGTTGGGGAAATTTGTGAGTTAGGTGACACCAGCAGCAAAGAGACTGTGTTTGAGTATTTGCGTTGAGAAACCATAATGATTATTCACGAAGAAATTTGGTTGCATAATTATAATGTGGCTTTCTTTCAAACCAGTGAATAATAATTATTATTATTGTTCATTGTGAATTTCAGTATAATTATTGTACTAGGGGTGAACGGATTCGTATTGTGCTTCCTGGTCAATGTGTACAACTCCGTAAGCATCGCTTTTGGTGAGAGTGCTCTCGGCAACGGTAGCTTCTTCATTTGCTGTATTTGGCTTCAGATTTGGAACTCCTGTTTCAGCTTGATTTTTTCCCACCTTCCGACGATAGACCACAATGGCCACCACCGTCGCTGACATCAGTCCGAAGACCATCCCACAAGCAATTCCGGCAATCACTATTCCAAGTGTGTAGGGTCCCGTGTTTTCTACCTCTGTGACATGGCGTGACAGTAGAGAGCAGTAGACTTCTCAACACACGTTCAAGTTGAATACACAACACAACCCCGTCCCCACTTTCTCCACTTGAACGTAAAGCTTCTTGCTATAAACTCGAATGGAGAGCCAAGGATTACAATCAAAAGCAAAAGACCTTTGGTTAACATGTAATCCGTAGTCGTCTTGCCTATAATTGTGAGCGTTGGACAGCTACGGACAATCTGCGAGCCTTTGGTCCTTTCTTTTGATTCTTGAAAATATATGTTGGTCTCAGTAGAGCGTCCAGCCCCTATATGATGTCCAACCCCTATAACCCCAACCACTGTACAGAGTCCAAACTTGGAATCAACTGTGAGCTCAAAGTTTAGATGGACATCACTCCCTGTATAGAATCCGGCCAATTGGTTTCACCCCTATATAGAGTCCATTGGTCCAAAATAGACTGTACGGAGTCCAAACTTTGAAATCAACTATAAAGAATCTTTATGTGGACAACACTCCCTGTATAAAGTCCAGCCAATTAGGCATCCCCTATCCAGAGTTCCAAATTAGACATAGGATATGCGGTAAGCAGCGAATATTAACCAGAAAACGGCCTCTCCCTTTAATCCTTTACATCATTCACTTCTCAAGATAAAAAATAAGTATTGAGGCGCCACTGCAGCCACTTCATTACACGAAAAACCCTACAAACACCATCCTCAAATCAAGAGGTCTCTTCGCAGACGCTGCAAATTACAATATCTCAATCATGTAGTGTTGCCAAATTATTGTCCACGCACACACACACATGCACACACCCGAACAACGCCAAGAAAATACCTAGAAAAAACCAAGAATCGAAAAAGAATAATGGACAGCCAAGGATTAATTATTTGTTTTTAAATTATTGTGCGCGCGCACACACACACACACAAACTTATACAACGCCAAGAAAACACCAAGAAAAGAGTAGAGACACAATACACACGCGACTCCAACAGCCATGCAAACGTCCACCCATTTACACGTAAAGTCAAGAGGGATAACAAATAATTATATGAAACGAATGCATACATGGGCGGATGCACGCACGTTTACATACATGTAGTAGTGTAAGAGAGTAATATAGTGCAGTAGTCAGCATAATACAAGCACATGCTGAGAGCGCAATAGAAAGCTTCACCATTGCTCATGGCCATGCAAATGTTCAGCAGCACTCAGTTCCGCAAGCTTCTGAAGATTAGCACACCTGCAACAAATAGATTGCACAAGGATACGTTTATTACCGTAATGATGCATGGGAGCACACAACTACCAAGTTCTCAACGAATGTGATGCTCAATGAAAATCCATCCACTCGGAGACCTGTGAACAGGTGACGGTGGGGACAATAATCTATTAGTAATACGAGGAATAAGATCGTTTGTGCACACTCAAGACGCACAAACACACCACCATACATGTAGTGTACACAGTGTTTCACTTCACTGCAACTAAATTGATATGAGATATGATATGAGATGATTCGAACAATCTGTGCAGCGTTGCCGTCAGTCAGTCTTCCCCAAGATGGAAATGCAATGATTTGTTGTCACAAGGCAGTTTCACTGACACAATGTCATGTTTGTGACATCAAACCGGTTACTTCATGGAATACGAGTACATGGATTAGCTTGAGAAGCTTTTTCTTGTCATCGGCATACAAGAAATCCTGCTTCTTCTACTACTACTACTAGTACACTGGCACTGCGTTTGTGGATCCTATTGTATTCGACATCATACTAGAGCCTTCAACAGGAAGAGTGTCGTGGAGTTCACATAATCATCACAGGGATAAAAATACATTTCTCATGAATTAAAATAATAATCGATGATAGCTAGACGAAGTGGTTGATTACTTTTAGGGCATTCATTCAAGCAACTTCAAACAAAAGCGATACGCTCTTTGAAAATGGAAATAAATCAAGCATAACGACAGAACAGCAGACCAATCGAAACGAGTAAAAGCTTCCTTACCTCAATCATCGTCCTGCCATATAGTTGGACAGCTTTTTGACACGGTGGTACAGGCAGATCTTGTCCAGTGAAACAGGGTATCCTTGTGGCGTCGAACGAAAGAGAGTGTCAGTCTGACTCGTCAGATTGGAACTGTGCTGAACTTTTCTCGTTCTCCGCTTTCTCCTTTCATCCCTCGCTCTGATGAAAACGTCTTACTGGCAGCAATGGCCAGCCAAACAGGGGTTCCTTGTGGCGTCGAACGAAAGAGAGTGTCAGTGTACCTGACTCGTCAGATTTGAACTGTGCTGAACTTTTCTCGTTCTGCAATTTCTGCTTTCATCCCGCGCACTGATGAAACGTCTTCAGAGAACCACAAGACGCTTTCCAGATTTGATTTTGAACGTCTCCTTATCCTTCTTGGTTACCTCGAGACAGATTACTATCCGCAACTGCACAGCAGAACTGGCAGCCATGGCTGAAGTGAAGAAAGGAATGCGCTGCCACGAGGCAAGCAAAACTGAAAAGGTGTTTTTTTCGGGCACAACACACAGGACGGCGTGACTGGATAAACTGGACTCCTGGACCGAATATGGGATTTGTAGAAGAAGTGTACTCCTTATAGGGGATTGCGCGGCAGGATGAAGCTGATCAAAACTGAGTGGACGCCTGGACTCTGTATAGTGGATTTTGGACCAATGGACTCCATAGAGGGTGCTGGACATTATATAGTGCATGGACTCTATACTGAGTCCTACATATATGTTATTCAGCATTGACTATTTTTGAAGCTTCCCCACCCATATATTCTCTGGCCGTCTGGTTCATCATACCAGAAACACGATTCCCAGTTATTGTACATTAAAAAATTCATGGTTTGCGTGAGACTCTGCTCCGCATCCTTAGGAACGCCACCACCCCAAACAGTGAGAGGTGAGCAGATCAGACCCACCACAAAGACCGAAATTCCATTCCCGGAATCCATGCTTCCCACGAGTTATTGAGTTATATTGTAGCTAGTGACAGACATATTGCCTTCAAATAACTGTTTCGACTGTATCTGAGAGTTCTCATAACTGACGGTTGTAAGGATAAGGTGAAAGTGCTCGCGTCCTCACCTGTAACCCTCCCTCCACCACCACACAAGCAAAGCCAGCACACACAATATTTAGCGAGTAGATTGAATGTGTACTTAGGAAGCAGTTTTTCCAGCAGGCAGGCATAGTGGGTTTGAGAGGGTAGAAGGTTCAAGTCCTGCTTGGAAGCGGAAGGATTATGTCCAGCCGTGCTGCGACCCACAGTAAATTGGGAACTCGTTGCCTGGTACGAGGAGAGCATGGATGAAGCGAATGGGATTTTCGGTCTTTGGCTACTTTGTGGCGGGTCTGATCTACTCGCCTCCCACCGCTTTAGGAGCTGCATCTGCGCCTTGATCTGTAGACGGTGGTGGCGTTCCTGCTGACGCGGAAAAATCGGGCCCCGAACCGTTAACTGCTTTTTGAAGGTGTTCCCTGTTTATTAAGAGGCTTTGCAAGTACCACATCGATTTGCATCCTAAAGCAAATAGTTGGGACCAATCAAGCCCTTAGAAGTGTCCCGTGAACTGATGTGAGGTTTTTCAACCTGCTCAATCACCGGATTTGCTTCATCATGATTCATGAATATGCCTTGCTCTATTTAAATACAAACCTCTTTTTTTCTGGCGATGGGTGACTGGTCCGAAACGGCAATAATTTTTCGACATCAATAATAAAATAATTTTCATCCAGCACATGCGGCAAGAGTGAACAGCAACAAAATAGAGCGTTTGTCAGTTGACAACCCCCTTTCGTGTACCTTTTTTACATGAAAAACATTATACGTGACGGTGTAGACAGAAGAAGTGCATCTTCTTCGGTTCTACGTTGTTCTTCAGCATACATAGACCCCAAATATCACCAATTTTCATGCCAGATATTTCATTGCTACAGGTTGGGCCTTATTTTCTCTGTGCTGCACTGATGATTCCACAAAGGACGAAACAGTTCTGTCCGCAGATTGAGTAAACCCCATATATCATTATTATTCCTAAGGAGAAATATAGGCAATATGGCCGATTGAAAGTACATGAACGAGAACCAATTTGTCGAACTTCAAAGCCCCGCAAGTGAAAGAAAAATGCGAACATATCCTTTCTCGGAATAACATTTTTGATCCACAGAGTATCTACTTACGTGGTTTGCATGTATATCCCGTGCAACAGAGGTTTTGTGACATGTTGCTGCCAATGTACTTTTGAGAATGTCGCTCCACAAAGCAAACAGGCAGACAACTGGGAAGCGACGTCCAAATTCCACCAGGCTGGCATGCTAGAATCGATGGTTGTGATATTTGTCCGTAGCCGGCACGACATGCCGCGTTGACTCTGGTGCCAGGAGGGCTTCGTGGAATTGGCATCAACGTCACTTCGTTCACCAATGGGCAGTAGAGCACTGAATAGAAACAGAAAATTTGAATGGCAACAATAATAATATTATAATATACCAATAACATCATCCTCTCCCTGACGAGATCTTCATGTTCGCAACAACTGTATGAAAGAACTGAGCACCAATAGTAGTGTGTTTCGTGGTGTGGTGATAGATTGAAAATGTTATGATCTGCACAAGACCGAATGCAGCTGCATAACCTTCCAATAGCAACAATACTGACCGGTTGGCGAAAAATATGGTTACCCAGAGCAGAAGAAACAAACATACCATGCGTATACCACACTCAAAGATGTTTGTTGGTGATGATTTCGGCATGACATCATCCTCCGACAACTGAGGATTATCTTAATAGTTGCCATGCCTGTGGATGCGGCCCGGACTTGAGAGTTGATGTGGATGATTGTATCAGGTGAGCAGCAACACAATGCAGAATGTATTATGAGCATAAGTGACTGTATTACTCTCCATGGCCTCGGCTTGGTTGAGTGCTCTTTTCAGGTTGGCGGTAAAGTTGTCTGCCTTGGTGCTCAGCCATTAATTCAGAATCATGATGTTCCGGTTGACTAATGCCCCGGCCAACATTCCGTCACTCATGAATCCTAATCTGTAACCATATTTCTGAAAATATTAGTATTTTTGGATGACTTTCTACGATTACATGCACAGCGCTTTGAGTTTGGTTTGAAACAGTGAAATTGAAACCGCCGACAGTGGAGGAGATTATGCATTGTACACGTGGCTGGTGCACTAATCAGTCTTGACTATCATACATAGCGGATACATAGCGGATATATTTTCCATATTCACTTCTGCGAAGGGTATATCTGACTTATACCTTCCTCAGTCTGAATCCTAAAAAGGAGTATATATTATTTATTTCTCTCCTATGGTGTATATTAACAGTATTTACTTCTCTACAGTGGTGTATATTGCCAGTATTTATTTTTTCTATAACAATACAGTGAATATACACTGGCGGAGGCTCTGTGTGATGGTGGAGGTGTATATTAAGGTAGGTATAAAGTAAATATTCTTACGCTGACATGCTTTCCCATTCCACCGGTGACCGAATCGGCAAATGCAATTCACTCCTCTAACGCCATGACTGCACGATACAACATTAGTGTCGTTGAAGCAGGCCTGAATACAACCTGTAGAAGAAGTGCAAAAGACTACTAATGTCAATACCCAAGTAGTGAAGTGCACTGACTACGTTTCAAGCATTTTTTAATTAATTCCACAGCCGAAAAATCATACGGAAGACGATACAGAGGATATTGAAGGGCCAAATAGGAGTGCATTATTATTTAGTATTAGGCTCCTGAAGATTCGTATGGGGGAGCACTTTCTGTAGGCTGCTCTAGAGCTGCTGCATTACTTTTCGTAGTTTTAGCACTCTGGCGCTAGAGAGACCATCTATCTAAAATATCTGTGATGCCTCCTTTGCACCATGGCTGGTAGCTCGGCCTACTTTAACCTCGTGGCTGTACTGATGAGGCCTTTATGGCTTACAGCTTGCTGTCTACAGCATTCGGAGTGCATTACATGTATCAATGAAACTGTTACAAGTGCTCTATGGCGGCGTTGGCTTGTAGACTTCAGTTACAAATTACGCCTCGCATAATTATCATAAAACCATTGTTGGCTCATGGGGCCTCCAGAGCACCCTGCCGTATAATACCTAGTATTTTGGATAGTGAGTGTATGCAATGTGCGGTATATCTATGCTGTAGTTTGACAGAAAGGTCAGG